GGTTAACACTATAAGGCGTTTTGTTCCTCAAAAATCACAGTACATGAATTGAGGGAGTTCTTGAAATTAATTCTTTCCTTTGATTTCTTTGTTCACTAGGCCAATTTGGATTATCATTCTCAATTTTTGATTATTTTAATGCATATAATTATAATAAGGAAATGGCTTAAATTAAATGTGTGTTATCTGTAATTAATTTTCCCTAATGAATAATCTCCACAATAGATACGGGGTTATTGTTATAAAAGAAAGATAGAGACAAATGTCTAACACTCTAAAAGTATGTGTACTTTTCACTTGCAAATATAAACGTATGTGCAGAATAAAAATATTGTTGAGAAAACTACTTGCTCATAAAAGTGGCATTGCTTTCTATGAAACCACTATCATACAACTTTGAGTAGATGACATTCTTTTCATAGACACTAAAGCCTGCCTTCTGATGAGTATTCAACCATTCTTGACCTCCTACCTTGTATTATAGTTGTTTCTTATCTCTAATATAAGTAACTTCCTTAAGGCTGTATCTTATTCTCTTTGCGTAATTCACAGTAGCTTGAGTTGTTCTTTATGAATAGTAGGCTTTGCATAAATACATGTGTGGATGAATGAATGGAGAGGATGGATGGGTGGGATGGATAATTGGAAAAATATAGATGTTGGTTGGTTTTATTCCCTTTGGGGCTCATTTTCCCTCTAAAGAAATATATTAATATGTTGCTTCATAGTATAAACCACTAATAATTATGCCTGTGCTAAGTAAAAATAAAACAGACAACAAATAAGGTAACAATCATGAGACACTTTACCAGAAGCCACAAGTGAATGAACAGATTTTTTTTTTCAATAGAAGAAACAAAATAATAAAGGATACCTCTAAAATCTTGGATTTAGCTAGGTAACAAGCATCCCAACTAATCTGGGTCAGTAATTGTCTATTGTATTTTAATAAGTATATTTTAAAGGATTCATCCAAGATTCATCTTGGGAAAGTCTAATGGGCTGTAATCATTTACACCGGTCAAATTAAGAGAGCTGTGTAAGACTTCAGATAATGCTTGACAAATGTTTTGCTTAGCACTATTAAAGTATTTGCAATACTTTCTGGTTTAAGGTTTTACTTTTGACTCATTTGGCTTATAATCTTAAACTATTAAGCATAGATTATCATTTTATTTAAGGATGTGATCAAGAAAAAAGGTTCTAAATAAGTTTTGAGATTTTCTCCCATCCTATTCTGAGTTTGAAAAGATTCTATTTTAAACATTCTTATACAAGATTCCCGAACAGTATGAATAGGGTATAAGAGATCCTGAGGACCAAATCAACTAAAATATATTGTTGAATACATACATAAATTATGAATATAAAAAATGCTTTGTAAATTGCAAAGTGACATATAAATGCTGTTATTCTTTAGCAGCATGATAATGCTGATCTGTGATATTTGAACTGCCTTTCTAATAATATAATAGCCCTTTTCTCTCTAGATGAAGTCTCATCATATCACAACCGAAGAACAAAATTACACACTCTTTAGACATACCACTGTGTAATCAGCTCCCTTCAGAAGGATGTTTTGGCTTAATAATGAAAACATCTTAATAACTGAAATCATTACCCACTGAGTTACCATCAGTGTCATGTTCTAAAACAGACAAATTTCCTAGAATGAGAAACACAGCCCTTTTGACTGAAAATTTCTGTAAATACCATTCTTGATGTAAAAGGGTCATCACTCCTCCCTTCTTTTCTCTCTTCTTCCCTCTCTCCATCCATCCTTCTCTCCTTCCTTCATTCCTCCATTCTTTCTCTTCTTTTCCATGCCTTCCTTGCAAGTATGTTTAAACTACCAGCATTAAGCACAAAAGGGATTTCTCCATTTGCTCTCTTTCTACCACAATATACTCAACTAATATAACACGTTATCCACCTCCTTAAAAAATTCTGTCAAGACTTGTTAAAGTTTGGTTTTACATCCCAAGAAAAGTAGCAGAAAAGTGCCTCATACTTGGAGTATAGACAGTAAGGTTTGCTGTTGAAATGCCCTAAATTAAAACCTTGGTTCATCAATGTCTCCTACATTTATTTATTCTGAAATTATGCCTACTGAAATTGGCTACTTTATTTTACACTGCTAAAATATAACTCATACATGAATTGTGACTTTGTTTAAAAGAAGAATTTAATGATTTTCCTCTAGTCTCCTACATTTGTTATAACTGGTAAATATTGTTTTCTGGTTTCTGCACATTCAATTGTTAAAAGGCATCTGATACCTATAATAATACTTTTTCAAATGCCTGCGTGATGAGGATTCACACAGATGGCAGGTGTTCCTGCAGAGTATCTGTGAGAGGGGGAATGGAACATTAATTAGTTCCTACTTGTGCTAGGAGTGATAAATTCTATAATGCCATCAATTATATTATCAAGATATCTTAAATTATTCACTGATAAGTGCAGAGATATAGAGATAGTTATTTGAAACTCATTAATATTGCTTGAAAATTCTACATTTTCTTAAACTTCTAGTTGACTATAATGGTCAACTTACTGTTTGAGGAGACAGAATATTAGCAGAATGCATTTGTTTCATGTTTCAAAAAATGTTATTTGGCCAAGATTGGTTACTAAATAAAGATTATTATAAAGGACATACGGTTCCAGTTCTAAAGTCAAGATTATATTACTGCATATTTTTATTTCAAGAAGAAATTCCATGTTTAATCTCTAATTGAGAGTATAAATATAAATGTTTAGATAGTTGCCATGCCCCCTCCATCATCTGTATATGTATGCGAGTGTGTATATGTGTTGGTGTCTGTGTGTGTGTAGATGAAGAAGTAGATATTCTATCGTGTGTGTCCATGCAATGACCTATTATTTTGGCTATGGGAATATTGCTTAGGGAGCTTTTAAAAATAAAAATATTCACTTATGATACAATATTAAGTTCAAAATCAAGATATTAGGTCATAGGTGCTTTATGATTGCATCTTTATAAAAAAAAACAACAATAAAGCTATGCAGAGAAATAGTAAAAAGAAGTACGTAAAATGTTCCTGTTAGTTATTTGTGGTTAGAGAATTCTGAGTGATTTGTTAATTTCTTCTCTCAGTTTTAAAATTGTTTCCATAAAAAATCAATTACACTTTAAATGAAAAGGATTTTCCTCAGGTAGAATTTATTTCAAAAATAATTTTCTGTCATATCAAAATAAAGACCTTTTGTAAGTACATATCATTTCTTACTTTTTTTATTTAGTAGTAAAATAAAAATAATAAATCATGGATCATTAGCACCACATAGAAAATTTGTATTTTTAAATCAAAGGCACTCTAAAATACATATGAAAAAGATATACTTCAAATACTTCTTTTGTTCATTCTTTTTAAATTGTTGGCTATGGCTAAGATTTAACAAAAAAGGATATAAACAGCTCATCACAAGGTCTAAATATTTTTCCCCCAGTCACTCTTACCTTTTAAACTTACTTCTGTCATTAGATGTTTTCTACTTTTGAAAATCTGTATAGCTTGCCAGATGTAGTTTTTTCCATTTGTATACTTTGCTAATAGAAATTTCAAACTGTGTTTTCAAAAAGTAATGCATAGTTTTAACTGAGCCTAGTGAGATGAACAGATTTAAGTTAAAAAGTCTCCCTCCTTATCAAATTTGTTATCAGTTTTCTTGGTAATTCTTTGATAATGTACTAGTCTGCTTAAGATGTCTTTAACTCAAATAGATACTAGGAGGAAAATAGGATTTTTTTTAACTATTTGAATTATCAGAATTACTTAAGAGTTTTAAATATTTAACCACATAATCTATAATATATCTAAGCATATTTGAAAAGCTAAGCTTTAGTTTCTCTCTGGTTTTACCACTTAATGCTCTTTGGTTCCTCTCTGTCAATGCCTTTTCACAATGTTTGGATTTGGTAGTATTAAAAATATCTAAATATTATAAAGGACAGGAGTGATATTAGAGAATATGGACTATAATTCTAGATGTGCTATTAAACTGCAGTCATCCTGGACAAATAAGTTAATCTCTCTGTATTTAAATTTCATATTTATCTGTAGAAACAGAAAATCAACCAGATATCATTTTTTCATAATAAAAGAAATATTGTATTTTACTTTACAATATAAACCCATTTAGCCTTAAGGAGTTTCTCCAAAAGCAGACTTTGTCTAGTAATGACCAAGATGTTCTGTGGAAAGACGGGGAATTTTACCACAGAAAGAACAATGGCAAAAATCATATTTGAACTATTCTCAACCATGGGGATTATCTTTAGCATTTGTTTTATCATTAATTATATTTTTGAAAATTTAATAGCTACCTATTGCTCATTCATTCATTTGATGTTTATTAATAAATTCATCACAGAAAACCTGACACTCTATATATGATTCTTGCTTCTTGGCTTTCTCTCTAGTTGTTTTCCTTTGGTCTCTTTCGTATTGGAAATAGTATTTAGCCCAGCGTTCTAGTTACCCTGTCCTGCAGTTGCGATCATTACCCAAGGGCCTGAGGTAATAGTTGCTCCATTCCCCTTACAGCCAGCTCCCAAGCAGCAGTGTCAAGTTCCTCTTTATAGGTCTGTTTTGTTTTGTTTTTGTTTTTTTTGAAAGTGTATGTAAAAGCTATTAAGCAACGTTTAAATTTTAAGTCAGCAAACATCCTATATATTGCATGCATATTTTGTTCTTTAGTACTCATAACAAACAAAGCCTCTTGCATGTATTAATATTATAGAGCTTTAAAAATAAAATGTAAAATCTTAAAGTACTTTAAAAGATTGAAGAAATCTTTGCTCTCAGTTTGTATCATTGTATGATATTTCTTAGTAACGTCCTAGATTAAATGTTTGCATTCATTTTTATTTAGATCCTTTTAAATTGTTTTAATATATCATTGGCTAGGTTGTCATTGTTACAACTTTGCAGAGGATTTATCCTGATCCTTGCGTTTTTTTCCCCCACCGACAGCTCTTTCAAGCATTTGATTGGAGGACTGGATGATGTTTCTAATAAAGCATATGAAGATGCAGAAGCTAAAGCAAAGTAAGTAAAAATTTGGGGGGGCCTTAATTTTGATTTTTTTTAAATGATTTTGAGTAGAAATAAGATCAAATATTTTGTTGGACAAAGCCCAACACTCTGACAGGAAGAAGCTACTTAAGAGGAAAAAGAAGCAACCTCTTCAAGGTAATTATTACATAGAATGCTCACTTTGTAAGTGTGTATCTCCTTAAACACGAAACCTTGATTTTGTGAGGAAGATCATCTGGACAAGGGAAAATGGTTAGTTTAAAATCCAGTGTAAACAGTTGAATGTAAACACATCTTTCTCCCACTGAAAACATTTTCTGAATGAATGGTGATTGTGTTCAACAGTTGTTTGTGAAATTGTTTGAAAAATAGCAAGGCTGGAAATATTTCTTCATGTGAATATACCCTTGTGTTGCATTAAACTTGAATGGCACCGTTATCATAATGATCTGAGATAGTACATATCCCATTAATGATCATTTTTATAAAACAAAATACCATTTTATCTACTAGAATAGTTTAAAACAAAGCCTTTTTATTTTTTTGACAAAGATGCGAAGTAATTTGAGATTTGCTTTTTTTTTTGAAAAAATTTAATTACTTTTTTAAAAAGTGTAATCTATATAATTCTCCTCTTCTCCCAAGAAAGTAATTTAAGGAAAAACAATTTTGTATTTGATATCATACAGGACACCTGAAGGATTAAATCAGCAAATATCAGTAAATAGATAGTACAGGCGAAGGATGTGATTGGTTGGTCTTGTAGTTACCTAAAAACCAAAAGGAATAAAATAATTTATTTGCCTTGAGAATTTATGAAGATTAAAAATTTGGTCTAGAATTAACTGCTATAATCCATTTTGACTGATAAAATTCTATTATTTTCAAAGCTGTATAAATAATATCCACAATTTCTTCTCTGTATAGTTTTCTCTTGTTTCTTTTGCTCTTTGAAGGGACATAGACTTACATCCCAGGGTCAGATACCAGTAGTGTCTCTGCCCAGATTTGCTCAGGGAATTACACCAGCCACTTTTAACACCAAATTTCATGCAGTCCTCAGTGTTGCCTGTACTGCGTGGGTGGTTGGTATTAATTTTCTGGTTTCCTACATTAACTTAAAATATGTATAATTGCTAAGTTTAGATTTTAGTTTCTGGTATTTACAGTAATCATTGTGAGATGGTAGAAGGGGACCGTTTTAAAAGTTATAAAACTTTCTTTGTTTTTATTGAACCCTCAGAAGAACATTTTCTTACTGTATAAAAGCTCATATTTATAACTTATGTCAGCAAAGTTTTTCTTGAGTTATATATTTAATTAAGTCTACCATGGATTATTATACACACACATACCCACACCATTCTGTACACATTTTATATATACAACTAGTGGTAATCTTTAAAATTCATCTAAAATCTTTAACTATCTAAACATTCGTAGAATTACTGGAAAAAGTCAAAGGTCTTTTAAACTAAATATTCTTTGATCTATTTCTGTTTTCCTGTTAAACTTTAGACAGATTGTCCAATGAAAGTTTTCGTATAACTCCTATTTACTCTACCCAAAGTCATGGCCAGTCACTGGCTTAAAATTGATCAGTGATTGGGAAGCAATTATAAATTAGATTCTTCTAATAGCGTACCGTTGACCTTACAAAGATTAAACTGTGTGTGCATCTCATGAATTCTGGGCATTTATAAGTTCACTTGCGCATGTTTCAAATAAAGGTGGGAAGGAAAACAGACATACTGAAATTCAGATTCAGTCAGTTAGAAGATAGGTGTGGTAACAGATCCTCACGCTGGAAGACAGTCTGTCAGTCTGAAAAATATGACCCTGAATGAGGACCAGAAGCCCTGGATTCTGCTCCTGGCTCTGTCATTCCCAACCAAGTGATTTGGGTCATGTCTCAACACCTGTCTCTCAGTCTCATTGTCTTACCTATGAAATAGTATTGTTGTGATTTAATTGATGAAAAATACTTGGTAAATTATAAAGGGCTATAAAAGTGGATGAATACGTTTGTAGAAGTAATCATTGGAAATATACCCTAATGCATTTGATACATGGTTTGATTTACAAACAATTACTGCATATCTATGATGTAAAACTAATTTTACCTGGGCAAGAAGTCTTTAATCTTCTGTAGGCAAACTAGTCTCACTTTGGTAGCATGTCATAAAATTAAACCTAGCTTCAGAAAAAAAAATCCATAAATACAATTTTTATAAAGTAACAATTAGTTAAAAGAAAGTTCAATTATGATTAAAGAATAGTAAAGGGCAATGAAATGATGAACTACATCTATATATTGTTATTTGATGTGTAAGTTTAATAGATTATAAATTAGCCATTATATTTATACTAGAATATAAGTCAGCTAGATAGATTAATTTTAATTTTTCTATTCAGTTAATACTAAATCTAAATGAATGCATAACCCAGATACCTTGTTATTGATTATTATGTAGAAAATGGGAACGCTTGATGAAAAAAAAGGTCCAAAACCATTGATCTAAATACCAGAGAGATTGATAATGTAAACTTTACCTCGAAATAGATAGATAAATAAATACTGGAGGCGGTGGTGTGATGCATTTTATGCTGTTAGCATTTTACAGCTTTCTAATAAGTAATTAATACCTGAAGATTTCTGAAGTTGAAAGCATTTTTTAATTAGGTGTCCTATCACTCAGAGTAGGTAAATTGTAAATTATTTCCTCGGGAAAGCTTTTTAGTGGAACTAAAACATTTAAACGTTTATTTGTGTTCGCGTTGTTTTCGCTCTCTATTGAATTTATTCCCCTTAAGTACATTGTGCCTTCACTTTGAATTTAAGTAACTTATAAGGTTTACCAACATTGCAGGGATTAGGAACTGGCTCTGACTGTTCTAAATTCCCTGGATAATTCTGTTAATGGCTCTGAATTTCTATGTAGATCACAAATTCTGTACCATTTAGACCTGAGGTGATGATTTGGCTCCGTTGTGTAATCTTTCCTTTTTTAAGGTCCCCTTGACTTTGCAAAATACACTAAAGATAAGATTGATATTTTTTAAAAAACCCAACCAAAATGATCATATTATTTATCAATGTGTAATTATTGTTGGTATTGTCTCAATGACTATGACTGTTTGGCTAAAAAAAAAAAGTAGGGCTGACTGCAAAGATCGATTCAGATATGACATTTAGAAACTCAGCTGTGAGAAACTTATTAGCTATTAGCACAATCAGGCTTCAATGGCGGGATGATTTTACAAACTGTACAGAACATCCCTTTCAGAGAAACCATACCAGGCATGTGGTTTGGATGGCTGGCCCATGAAGGTGGGCTTGAAAGAAATATCTCAGTGAAATGGTTCTCACAACTCTTCTGCTGCAGGATATGTGCCCTCAGTCTGTCTCATGAGATACGTCTCCTACAAAGAAAATTATTCTTGACAGAAACTTTACCTTTATGGCACATTTAAGCTTCTTTTGATTGCTGCTAATTAACCACTAGAGGCTTCTCTTTTTAAAATATGAAGTTATACTCGCAAAGATATTAGAAGAGACAACATCATGGAAGATAAGGATCATTACAGCTTATTCAGAGCAGAAAGTAGCATGTGTGATGAAAGCTACACATTATTTTCCTTTGAGAATATGTATTCACTTAATAAACAGTTTGAAATTCACTTACGGTGAGTCGGGCATTGTACTTTACAATGAGCATGCCAAATAGAAAAAACATAGTTTCTAAAACTAAGAATCTTGCTGTTTAGTGGGGAGACTGATGAGTAACTCAGTAATTATTTTCAATGTTTACTTCTAAGTTATAATACTTCGTGTGATATATCACTCTTTGGATAGAGAGACCTATCTCCATATTTATACCTTGTCTTGTAAAAAATAAATAAATAATAACCATCCAGAAGATCAAATAGAAAAAAGTAGGTGTTTTATTTCATTCTAAGTATTTCTGATATATAAATATAGACTTCTTAAATGAAATATTTTCAAGTTATACTATCATTGCTCTCTTAATTGTTGAATACTGTATTTAGCACTTAGAGGCAAAACATCTTTTTCTGAATAAAAAGCCTATATATATTAACAAGCCAAGATGAACTATATATATGTATATATATAAAATATGTAATTATAATACTCGATCACAAGAATCTTTAATGTAAAAGTTGCTCTCCAATAAGGTGATTTACATACACCACAGCTGTATTCCCAGATTTTGGCCATACAGAGGGGAGATACAAAGCAACAAATTAAAGCCAGTGTTTTATTTATAATGGTATCTATTTTTAATTAAAATGTTTTATATTTTTACTTTAGTAGAAATAATATTTAGAGATAGATTAAAAAATTTTTAAAAAATCAGTCTAATCAAACACAACCGCTATCAACTACCTTTGTATTTTACAGTTATACTTAGTCATTTACAACTTTATATTCTGCTGTTTCAATTTACCACCCATCATGTAATAAACATTTCTAATATTACTATGTGTTCTTCCTAAGCATCATTTTGGTGGTGGCCTGATAACACAATAAATGGACACCTAGTATTTTAGCCTGATTCAGTATGTACCCTTGTTGATTCAGTTTGTTGTGCTTTTGAAAATAAGATCTCAATCACTTCTTTAAAAAAAAAAAGCAACAAACAATAACCAAAAACCTTCAAATTGGTCCCATCTAGCAGCACGTTCCAAATTATATTCTGTCATGACACGTGTAGAAAATGGGTATAGCATGGGTATTGATGGCTCAGTTGCCCTCGGTTCAATCCTGTTGCTCTGAAGGCTGAAAGGATTCGTATCTAAGCCCTTCAGTTGAGAAGCTCTGACGGCTCTATGAATATAGATTATAAATACTTAATTTATAATCTAAGTTGATGATTCTCAATATAGTTCTTCATGAGGAACTCTTTCTCATGGCAAAATCTGTGTTAAGCTTGTAAATGAGTGTGGTCATGTTTTTTAATCTACAACTTTACTCGGTGTATATGTAGATT